TATAGGGAAAGGGTGGGGGAACTAGGCAGGTGGTAACCTACTTTAGCCTAGGATTCTGGCATAGCTTTCTGTCCTCCGCCCCCATAATTCATTTTATGTCTCTCTTTCTTTTCATGGTATTAGCAAATATGTGCCTTTCATGGTAAATAATCCCCAAAATTATTGAAAGTAGAAGTAACTCATTTTTATGCATGATTAAAACACAGAGTCCTTGATAAAACTGAACCATCATCAAACCAGTAGGCCCAAGTCAGAGAGAGCTGTGGAGCTCAAACTATTCATGACACAGGTCATGGATAAGATCACAGAGGCCTAGAGCCGGGCTGCCTCACCTGAAGTCTACCAGCAAATCATCTGCAGAGGCTACTCGTGAACACCTGATTTCAAGCCCAGGGCTCTTCCTGCCCCTGGATGGACTGTGGCTTCGCATCTTCCTATGTCTCTCTGCCCCAGGTGCTGACCCCACATTTACTCTCCAGGCCCTTGTTCTGAAGTTTTGCTATGAGTTGGCTGGCAAAAATTTCTTGTTAATCTATCAACTGGTAAGAGAGAAACTGAACTTCCTCAGGACTATTTGGGTCTTCCAGACCCCAAGGAATGCATCTTTAGGAAGGATCTTTGTATCAGTTTGTTAACTGCTGATATTAGGACAAATGCAGCAACTTCACACAACACACACATTTATCATCTCACAGTTTCCGTGGGTCAAAAGAACAGGTATGGCTTAGCTGTGTCCTCTGCCCAAGATCTCACAAAACTGCAGTCAAGGTCTTGGCTGGGTTGCATTATCATCCGGAGGCTCAACTGGGGGCAGATCCACTTTCAAGCTCACTCAGGCTGCAGCCAAATTCATTTCCTTGTGGCTGTGTGACCAAGGGCCCCAGCTTTTTGCTGGCTATGAACTAGAAGCTGTCCTTAGGTCTTAGAAGTCACTGACCCATAGTTTCTTGCTTCGAGGACTTCCTTCACACTGCCGCCAACTTCATCAGGCAGGTGAGGAGAATCTCTCACTCTAGTCGGCCAACATGGAGTTTTATAGAAAACAACGTAATTGTGAAATTGATAGTTTATCACCCTTGCCATATAACATAACCTAATCATGGGAGTGACATCACATCACCTTTACCATGGTCTGTTGATTAGAAACAAGTCACAGATTGTGCCAGGGGGTGGGAATTATTAGGGTGACCTTCGAATCTTCCTCCAGAACCTCTCTCACTTTGGTGACTTGCTCAGCATGCACCCCACCTCTACACATCAGGAAGCCCCTGTTGCATGCCATATATCACACTGGTCTCTGCAGACAGCTGAACGGTGATGATGAGGCTTCCAGCAGAAAATGGCCCTACAGTAAGTTACCCCCGAAAGGCTGCCTGTCTGAGGGATCTGCGATTCACACAGGACAGCCTCTTCTTGGGCTGGGAGGGCAGGGCAGGGGTGTCGGGGGGCTTCCCAAAGGAGTTGAAAACTGGCACAGACATAATGAATAATTAAGATGTTTGCGGAAAGATACAAAGCGGAGCAGAGAAAGCCAAGATGTGGAGACAGAGGGCAAGGCAGGGTGCAGAGCAAGGCAGCCGCAGGTAATCCAGGATGATGGATATAAATGCACTGGGGTAAAAGAGGGGGAGACCAAATCACTGAGGCACTTAGAAGCCAGACTTCAGTGGTCTGTGGAGGGCCACCACATGGCCGTAATGGGAGAATTGGGGACAGTGGCGTGATGAGCTTGGGGCTGCAGGGAGAGAGACCCCAAGCAGGAGCCTGGGCAGGGAGGTGACAGTGGGCAGGGGACAAGCCCGGCTTGTCTGAACTAAGCAGGAGACCCCTCCCCCGCTCTGACCCACAAAAGCCCTGGCAAAAGCAGACCTTCTTTGAGCCACTGCAGGCAGCCAGGCTGTCAGGATGACGAGTCCCGCCGCCTAGCAGCTGAATGAAAGAAGAAAAAAGTCCCTGTAAGTCCCATTTCACCGCCCTTGACCTTGCAGTGGAGCTTTAAGTGCAAAATCTGTCATCTATTAATCTGTTAGAAGTTGACAAAAGGGACTTTGATCAGAGGTTGTTTCCCCCCCTTCTTAAGTTTCCTGATGACACATAATAGCCCATTTCAGCCCGAGGGCCGGAAGCACGCCATCCTTCTTGCGCTGGCTTCACCCGCAGTGGCCCCCAGCCCCGTGGTTTCTCCCCGCCCCAATATTAATTGGCCTGTAAGTGGTTACATGTGTTCCTTTTTATGCGTCAGTTGGAGTCTGTTATTGAACTTCACAGCTATTTGGGGGCACAGGGGTGCTGCTCTGGGCCCATGCTGGGAAACGGCACCATCTGGAACATGGCACACTCGCTGCTGCTGCCTTCTGATTTTTTTCTTCCGCTACCCCTTGAGGTTTGATGCCTCCCACCCGCCCTCACCCCCGCTCCCACCCCAGCGTGCCCCTCCAGGTTGGATTCCCCTAACTTTGCAGCGCAGCTGTTGGAACCATGCAAGTTCACAGTACGGGGGAACCTTAGAGAGCCCCAGTCTGCTGCTCCTGGTTTTAAAGAAATTGAAGCGCTGGGGAGGTGGGGGTGGGAAGGAATGTTTCTTAATGAAAATAACATTTGTTGAGAATCGATTATGTACATGTTTCTTACATGTGTCAAAATAACCGTGAGTTAGGAATCACACTGCCACTCATCAGGCAGGGAGCCTGAAACTGGGGGACTAAGGGGGAGGGCTGGAGGGCCAGAGAGCCTAGGAGTCTGTCCTGCCACTAACACACACCAGCTGTGTGATCTTGAGCAAGTTGCTTAGCATCTCTGTGTCTCAGATTGCTTGTCAATGCTGGGTCTAGTAACAGTACCTACTTCAAAGGGCCGTTGTGAGGATTAAATTAATGTAATGTTTTTAGGGGCACTGAACTATGCCTGGTATACAGAAAGCACTTGATAAATGCCAGCTGTTGCTGCCCCAGGAGGCAGTGAAGCATAGAGGTTTCCAACCCCACCTCTGGTGTGAGATATCCTTGGTGTGAATCTCGGCTATACCAGTTAGCTGGGTGAACTTGGATGAGTTACTTATTTTCTCAGTGACTGTTCTCCCATCTGCAAAATGGGGATATCCCTGATGATTGGAGGTCTTTCAGTGAAATGGCTAGTTCCCCACATGATCACCTTGTAGTGGATTTACCGACAAGCCCCATTCAACCCCACAGAGCTTTTCATTTGATCTTTAGTGACCCATTTTGCATAGGATGGACTTCAAAAACGTATTATCAAAGAGATGACAAGTTATTGCATCCAAAAAAAACCCAAAATTGAAGATACAAAAAACACAATGGGGGATCAAACGTAGAACAATACAGAGCTCTTGAAAATTAAAATTTACAGACCAGGAAAATTTTAAATAACACAACATTTGAATATGAAGAGGCTTCTCAGAGAGTAAAACAAAGATAAAGCAGACTAAAAATAGGAAGGGAAGATAAGAAAATTGGAGGATTCATCTAGGATCTTCAGCTTCCAGATAGTATGAGTTCCAAAAAGAGAAAAATGGTGAAGACATAGGGGAGGCACTATTCAAGGAAATAATACAAAAATAAAATTCCCAGAACTGAAATCATGAGTTTCCATGTCTGTATCCACCACATGCTCAACACAGCAAATGACAAAAAGACCCACATCAAGGAAAATTATTGTGCAATTTCATAATATACCATGGATAAAGGGAAGATATTGAAAGCTTCCAGAAGGCAGGATGAGAAACAAAACAAAATCCCAAACAGACATATATAAAGGCTCAGGGTACAGGATGGCACTGGATACCTCAACAACAGTTCTGGAGGTTGATTTATAGCCTAGACTTCTCTATCCAGACAAACTATTAATCAACTGTGGGCAAAGAAGCCACATCTTCAAAATTCTGAAGAAAAGGGATTGGCAAAGTAGAGTTCGTACCCATCCAAATAACAGTCGAGCAGAGGCTCTGAAGACATGTTTTAAATGCAAGTTCCTCCTAAATTTGCCCTCTGTTTTCCCTATCTCAGAATTCTCAGGGAGGGAGTGTTCTGCTAAAATGAGGGAGTCGACCAAGAAAAGAGGCAGATGCGGGGTCCATGACACAGCTAATCCAGCAGGGGAGAAGGTGAAGAGGTCCCTAAGATGACGTGGAGAGATGCCAGGATCGCAGCCGTGACCCACGCAGGCACAGAGAGCCGTCTCTTCCTGCCCTCGAGGCCCCACCTTACTGTGGCCGGGGCTGCCAGTGCCCTGACTGACAGCTGACTGACTCTGGTTCCAGCGTTATCTGGCTTCCTGAGTCACTCCCCCTGCAGCTCCTGGGCCAGCCTCTCCCAGTCCCTCCACAAAGCAGTGGAGATTTCTGGAGCCTTCCATGCCCCACGGGAATTGAGGAAGATTCTGGCACTGCCATCTGTTGTCTGTCTTCATGCCCCACCCGAGTTGTCTCATCTTTTAAACAGGATGATACGAGCACCAACATCACAAGGTCACTGTGAGGATTAAATGGGTGAATGTTTGCGATGCCCTTAGAGTGGCATCTGGCATGCCGTAATGCAATATTGGTATTTGTGAAATAAAATACATTGCTTAGCGACATGAAGGTAAACTTGTAGGGGACTGGAAGTGCATGGGCCACAGCTGAGGTGAATTCACCAGCTCCCCATTGTCATATGTACCTAGAGACTCCCAAACATATTGAACCAGAAGCATTTGAACTCGTGACGTTAATACAAATATGGCCACATCAATTCCTGCTGAACAAGCTTTATGAGGAAGAAGCTGGCATCCCCCACTTAGCCCTCTAGGCTTGCTCTGCTGTACTCCTCAGAGTCACCTTGCCCACCCCCATTTGGCACCCATCCCCCAGCTCCAGAGACCTCCTTCAGTCAGCCCCTCATGAACTGTGCTCCCTGCTGCCTCAGGACCTTCACACATGCTCTTCCCTCTTCCCGGACCACTCTTCCCGCTACCATCTTTCCTTCCTTTAGCAGGTTCCTACTCACCCTTTGGATCTCAGCCGGGGCATCATTTCTGCAAAGAAACCTTCCCTGGACTCAAAGGAGATTAAAAATCCCATGACACATTTTCACGGCCCAGGGTACTTTGAACTCTGGCACTCGGTGTGACATCTGCAATTCTTTGTCTTTCATTCACTCAGCAGGGACTCCTGAGAGTCTGTTCCAGGCCACACTCTCCCTAGCCTTGACCATATATCCATGAACTGCATAGACAGAAACCCCCACCCTCAGAGAAGTGAGCATATTATTTAGGGGTTATTTGATGGCTTTGCTTTACTGACCGTCAGCTCCATGGTTAACATGTACTTGGCAGAAAACAAGCTTTAATAAATATTTTCTGAGACGTAAGCCCCACGAACATTGCTGCCTTCTCTGAGGAGTGAAGATGGGGATGGGGCACCACCCCCCTCCTATTAAATTTGTAAAGCTCTCCCGGCAGCATTGGCAGGAAACCGAGGTGCTGACAAGCAGTTCAGAGCAGTTTCGCTGGAGGTTAAAAGAAGAGAAGCCCCACCCAGACGGAAGGTCGCTGTGGTTTCTTTGGTGAATGTCCCTCCCCTGGGTCCCCCTCTTCACCTCCTGTTCCTCTGGCCATGCTTGTAACCAGGCCAGCCTTCCAGATTCACTGGGGCTGAAGGGGACCCGGGGGAGGGCCGTTCGTGAGTGGGTAACCCTGTGACTAATCTGGAGGAATGGTTCTGGCCCAGCGGTTCACCCCAGGCTTGTTTGTGTCTAATTTCCCTGGGCAAATGGGTCCCTTAATTTCACTCTGAGGTTAAGGGTTTCCCCTAGAGCTCACAAGAGACAGGCCAGGACCGTTTGCATGAGTGTGGGAAGCTTGGAGAGCTTTGGCATAATCCTCATGCAACTCAATTGTTTCTTCCTGCACCACTTTGCAGGAGAATCTAACAGTAACACCAAAGGACACAGAACAATTAAACTATTTTTTCCCCTGGAGGAAAGGTGGGGGAGAGGAATGAGAATTAGGAAGCACAAGACCCTAAGCAGGTGAGAAGTAACAGGCTCCATCTTTGATACCCAAGCCTGGCATAGGCATAGCAGAGCTTGTCATTGGGTGTGCATTTCACACATGCTTTAGAAGCAAACTGGAAGAACTTGGGATCTCACAGATATTCCTGGGTTCGGGCCTAGCTTTACCACTTGTGTCACATAAACAGTGGAGAAAAAGCTCCATTACTCACCTTTAGTTAAGAAGATAGCAGGTCCAGAAAGAAGTTAACACTGTAGTATAAATTAGCTTAGTATAATCTCAAGGTATCAATTTTCCTAGCACAACAGGGTTTTCTTATCCCTTCAAACAGTCCTTTATTCTGTCCACTCTGTGCTGGGCTCAGTATGGACTGTCCTCCAGTACAGACACAAGGGAGATATTACTGCACATTTATCCTTGAGTAAGTCACTTGATGTCCCTGAGCTTCATTTTCCCTGTTTGAAAATCTTCTTTGTCTGCCTCAGAGGGTCATGAGGCTTACACAGGGTAGTGCTTTGCACGTGATGAAGGGCTGTGGCATATGTGGTTGAATAGCAGAAACCCTCTTAAACAATCTTCAATTAACCAGCTCACGAGACTGCTGCAGGCTCTCTGTGCCCCTTGGCAAACACTGTGCCTATGCCCGGGACACACCAGATCCTTGAAGCTAGCAGGCCATTCTCCACTTTTCCTGAGCTCATCTGTTCCCATCAGTTGAACTGTGCATGCTTCTCAAGTGTTATTTGTGTTTGTTCTTAATCTGTAGCTATGACTCTAACTAAATAATACCATTATAACTCTGTAATGCAATGAAATAGGAGTGCAAAAAAACAGAGTTGTTTCTTTGCATGCCAGGTTGAATGCTTTGGAGAGAATCAAATACATGGATAGTTAAACAACTTTCTGGGGAATTGGATGTAAGTGAGATGACTGTAAAGGTTAGAAGAAAAAAGTGAAAACTGCGTCTTTGGCATTTAGCTTTATGTTCCCCATTTTAAAGAAACAGAGGCTAGAAATTGTCAATGATACTTTGTGGGTGTGGTTTATTTGGAAAAGATAACAAAGAATTCCAATGAGCTAACTCAAATGCATCCCACTTTCTAGGACTGTTTGGGCCAAGTGACCCTGATAAAGCCGTATCTAATCAGATTCTATAGGGCATGTTCTGTACTTTTAATATTTTTCTATGAACTAGAAGAGGAGTGTGTCAGGGCTGAATCAAGCCACATAAATAGGGTGAGAGCCTAATTCTTAGTACCTTCCAGAGGTTGAAGAGGCATGGCCACCACAGCCCCACTGCCACATGGCTGCCCAGGCTCTCTGTGAATACCCCAGCGACTCAACACCACTGAGACCAGACCCCGGCTCATTTTGAATTGTATTCTGGTTAGCATGCTTGCCTCATTCTCATCTCCCCTTTTCTATGCTTCTTGAAGAGCCCTCCTTTCCCTAGAGGACAAAAGCTCCATTACTCACCATTAGTTTAGAAGAAAGCAGGTCCAGAAAGAAGCTGACACTGTAGTATAAATTAGCTTAGTATAATCGCAAGGTATCAGTTTTCCCAGCAGAACCAGGTCTTCTTATCCCTTCAGCCAATCCCTTTTGGTTTCCTAGGGTCTTTGCACCTGTCCCAACCCCTTGATCCAGCCCCTTCTTCCTAAAGATGTACCCTTGGCTCCATTTTTGAAGATTTCTGGCAAGATTCTACCTGACTCTTGATTCAAGGGGAAAATACTATGCCATGAATCAAAACAAATTCTAATTCTAGCACTTTCTAAATTTGAGAACTTGCACTATATACTTTCTTTTTCTAAAAACTGTGGTTTTCTCATTTGTTTAATTGGAATTAAAGTAGCATTGCGGTGGCTTATTTGTTCAACAATTTTTTTTCTTAGTACCTATAATGTGCCCAGCACTGTGCTACTAGGAATACAGGAGTGGGAAAACCACAGACCTGGAATAGTTGCAGGAATGAAGTTTTCCTGGTTGATTGATGTGCTAAAGCAGGGATTGGCAAACTCTTCCTGTAAAGGGCCAGAGTAAATAGTCTAGGGTTTCAACATTGTAGCACAAAAGCAGCCATAAACAACATATAAATAAGTGGGTGTGGCTATGTTCCAGAAACACTTCACAGAAATAGGCAGTGGGCCAGATTTGACCTGCAGGCAGTAGCCGGCGAAAGTGCTAATGCTTCCGGCCTGGACGTCAGCTCCAGATGACTCCCAGAGAGCACCTTCAAACTGTTTGTGGATTCAGCCTTGAATATAGGAGTTCTTCCCGAGGGTCTCCAAATGTCTTTCTCACCCTCCACCTAGCATCGTGCCTTTGGCTTCTGTGGAGCTAGATGGATTAGATCCCAAGCTGGCTTAATTAACTTTCCCAACCTGTTTCCCAAATGGCAAAGCATGAACTGAAGAGCATTCAGGGGTCCTTAAGAGATTCAGCAGGCAGGCAGAAGAGGCAGCTAACGTGCACCGTTGGGTGGGTGGGCAGAGCCCCTCCTCCCCACTGGGCTTTGGTTTGCCTCTCTTAAAATGAGAGGGTTGGACCAGTGGTTTTCCAAACTTGACACTCAGGGTGCTTATTTAAACTGCAGGTCCCTAGAGCCCTACTTTGGGTCAAACTCTAAGGATGTCTCAAACTCTTGGGGATTCTGGGGTATTCACAAGTGCCCCAGATGATTCTGAAGGAGGACACGCCCAGGAGCACAGAATTGGGTCTCCTCCGGCTCTGACATTCAGTGGTTGTCAGCAGAGTGAAGGAAGCCCGTCTGCCTTTGCTGGGCTGGGCTGGGCTGTGGCGGAACAAAGGACGGTGGCGGTGGGAATCATTATCTCATCGGCAAGGACGTGGTAGGATGTGGTTGACCCAAACTTCCTGTGAATGGGGGAACCAGAGAGTAGGTTCTGAATCTGCCCCAGCAGTAGGCTCAGCCCACATGCCTAGAATGTGCTCAGTGGGTATTGGGAAGTGAGGACCTGGCCCCACCTTCTCTCTCTGAGCTTAGGCCGGTCATTTCACCTCTCAGAGCTTCAGTTTCCTCATGCATGAAATGGGGGTGATGATGGGTCACTGGCAAGCACAGCATGAGGAATAAACCATGTAACATTTATAAAGTAGCTCGTAATTAGTGGTAGGAATTCTCTTTCAGTGGAATGAGTGTCCCCCTGAAAAGATCCAGGGGCCAGGGGTCAGGAGTCTGCATCATAGGCCGGGTTTTACCAATGACTCACTGTTCTACCTTGGAGTGAGCGGGACACGGGGCCTTGCTGGGCCTCAACTTGCCTGACTGTGCAATGGGATGCTCAAGCACCTGTGCTTCCCTATCCTGTTTCTTAGGATTCTCTTGAAGGCTGGATGAAACTATGGGATGGGAAGTGCCCTGGTGCTATTTTGGAGCATGGCAAAGAATGTCCAAGACAATCCTTGTCAAGTAGACGGGTTTCTGACTTTTGTAATACCCCTGCTTTCTATTGGTTCTAGACAAATATTGCTTTGTTCCATCTGTTTAGACAGAGGAAGTAACAAACAGGATCTCTTGAAGACATCTTTGTCAAATGCAACCTATTCCCTTTGATTTATTCTCTTCTAAATTCATCGGTTGATTAAGAAATAGTCACTGGACACCAACTGTGTCCCCAGGCCCATGCTCAGTGTGGAAGGAGGTGAGTCCCTAACCATGAGAGGCTCACTGTCCAGTTTGGAAGGTCACACATTTCTGAGTGGGAAGTGAAAGAGCAGTCCAGTGATGGTGGTGACGGTGATGGTGATGACGCTGGAGACGATGGCAAGGATGGGAACGGTGATACGCTGGTTGTCAGGCATAGCGCTGCGCACGGTCTACAAAGCATGTTTGTGGCCATTGTCTATCTTACGTAATACTCAAGGTTATCAAAACAACCCCCCCACCATTTTAGTGATGAACAAACTGACAGTAATAACTGTCTGAGATCACATAGGAAGAAAGTAGCTGCGGTGGGTCCCAGATTCTTTCTTTTGACCCCAAGAGTGCCATTGTCCCTGAGACTCCACAGCTTTCTTCCTGTCAGCTGCCACAGAACACTGAAGAAAATGCTCATTCTCAGTAGATAGT